GAATATATATATAAATTTTTATAGAAAAATATTAAGGTTTCGCTTAGTTATTTAAGAAAAACGGGTTGATTTTCGTTGATTTTCGTTGCTAAGAGAAAGTAGTCGGCTTAATAATATAGTCGGTTCGATAATAAAGTACGTTATAAGAACTAAGTTTCTACTTATATTTTATATAGCTTTTTATATATTAATTATAGATAGTAATATTAGAGTAGAATTTAGAAACGCTAGCTTAGTTCTATTTAACCTAGATTTAGTAGTATTAAAGCTTAAAGTTTAATTATATATACTAATACTTTCTACTACTAATACTATTACTTAAAAGTATAAAATATCTAGTAATCTTATTAAAGTAAGGTTCTAATTAACTCTAATTTAATTAAAGATTATATAGTACCTTAATTTATTACTAACTTATATTATTAAGTTACTTAATTAGCTTAAGAAAAATAATAAGCTAATAGCGTATTAGCTAGTACTTATAGAATCTAAAGTTACCTAGCTTTAAGTAGCTAACGTATAGAAAAAGAAGTATAATTTATATAAAAAAAAGTAAATTTAGAAAGAGAATACTCTTATAATTAAAGCTAGCTTATAGCTAGTTACTTAAAGAAAGACTATAGATTAGAATAAGAGTAAGAAGTAGCGTAAAAAGGTAATAGTACGTAATAGCTAGCTAGCTTAGTAATACTATAGATACTATAGTAAGCTAGAGTATAATATATAAACGTACTAGATAGTTAAAAATAATATAGATAAGTTAGATAGCTTATCTAGATTTATCTTAAGTAGCTTAGAGTTAAAGAAATCTAAATAAAATAGTAGCTTTTTAGTAGAGGCTTAGTATTTTTAGAGTATTTACTTATATAGAGTGTTTACTTATAAAGTAACGTACTTAATAACTAAACCGCTCTAGACAACTAAACCCCCTACGATTTCTTGGCAAGGAAAATCAACGAAAATTAACCCGTTTTTCTTAAATAACTAAGCGAAACCTTAATATATTTCTATAAAAATTTAGATATATATTCTTTATAGTATCGTACACCTTGCATTAAAGTTGCACTAAGATATATTACGTAATTAAAAAGCTATACGTATTTAACTAACTTTTAAGAAAAAATCTAGTTTACTTCTAGTAAGTACTATTATATCTCTATAGTAATATATAAAACTTATAGTATATAGTATTTATAACCTAGTAAAGGTTTCTAGAAAACTTTTATTTAGCTAGCTCTTCTAGTTATAGCGTAATAAAAGATAGAAGTTTATAAAAAGTCTTTCTAGAGTTTTCTTCTCTAACTATATATATATATTAATAATTATCGTAGAGCCTAAGCTACGTACTGCACAGAAATAACTTATTCTATACTCTAAGATTACTATATAGAGAGAGCTAAGCTCTCTAGTTCTAATATAGTAATCTTCTTTCTTATTTTCTTACCTAACTAAGTAACCTCTACTAAGCTCTCTCTTTTTCTCTATAGTTATAAGCCTAGCGCTTTAAGAATATAGAATAAGTTCTCTCTACGTACTTAAAGAGCTAGCTAGAGGCTACTTAGTTACTCTAGTTACCCTTATATTATTAAATAATACCTCTTGTTTACTTACTCTATAAGTAAGCGCTATAAGTAAAGCTTTTTCTACTAGCTTATACTAGTTATATAATTATAACACCTAGCTATACTAGTATATCTAGCTCTAGTTCTACGTAATTAGTAAAGAACTATAGACCTAGATTAATCTAGAAGCTAAAGACGCTATAAATCTAGTAGATACTATACTAACAATCTCTATAATAGAGTTAATTACTAGTAAAGTACTAACTACTACGCTCTTTAAGAGTAGTAAGCGTAGAAGTATATAGAACGTACCTACTCTAAGTATACTATCTCTTAATACGCTATACTAGTAAAGACTTAATAAGTATAGAGCGCTCTTAAGCGACTAGGCGTTGTAGGTAACGCGCCTCTAAACTCTATAGAACTAGGTAAACGTAACTATTACTCTAGAGCTTCTTAAACTAGCTATAATAGAGCTTGTATCTTAGAAGCGTTTAACGCTATAAGCGCTTATACGCGTTCTAAAAAACAAGCTTACGCTAACCTTAGTAAGTGTTTTAAACATAATTTACGTAGAGTACTAAGCTTACTTAGAAAAAGTAAAGTAGAGTACTTATACACCTAAGAATTAGTACTAATAGTAGTACTTTTTATATATTAAGACAAAGACGTATAAGCTTATAGAAGTAGAAGACTAGCTTACTATATAAGACTTTCTTAATACTCTTACTCTAAAGCTTACGCTAGAATAGGCTTAAGCTATATACTAAAAGGTTATCTAGAATAGTATACTTAGCGCTAATAAGAAGCTTACTCTATAAGAGATTAGAAAAATCTTTACTATAATAATCTATAAATACTCTCTATAAGTATTTAACACAAACTCTAGTATATTTATAACGCTAGATAGATAATTAGATTAGCGTATAGGTTATTAGAAGAAACGTATACTAGTTAATATAAGAATCTACCCCTACTAAGAGCTATAGAATAACCTAAAACTATATATATAGAGCTTAGACGTTTATTACACGCTTAAGGTAGTAGTAACTAGCTAAAGAGTACTAATTAGCTAGAACACGCGTTAGAAGATTCTCGCGTAACTTAACTTAGATAGATTTAAATCTACTAGAGGATTTCTGCTAAAGAAAGGTTAAGAGCTTCTAAGTAGGTTAAACAATACTAAAGAATTAACTACCTTACTATACTCTAGAAGTATCTAAGCGGTACTAATTAATCTAACACTTCTTAGTAAGCTAATAGAGATCTATATAACTATAGACTTTAACGCTTACTCTCT